ATAACTGAGTTCTCAAATTGAATTCAAGAATATATACTTATATATAATATACTTTGTATGAGATGGTGATCTAAACTAATTAGTTGCACACCTGTTGTTCACACAATTACTCGTTTGTTAATCAATTCTTCACTCATTTATTTTCAATGCTTCGCAAACTTTTCCCACACAATCCAAGACATCCAAACTGTCACTTAAATTAGAATTTCTAGATATGAATAATGTATTAGATTTGTTCAAATATATGACATTATATTGTAACTCATTATTATTTTCATGAATAGATTTTTTCGCATTAGTCTAATGTTTCCTTAAATATAGTTTCAGAGAAATATATAAATATAATTGATATTAAATCTAATTCTAAAACTAAATACATTTCATCTCATCTTTTGAAAAAGCACATAATCTTTATGCTATAATCTAATGAATAATTACTATATTACATGTTTACAGAGTAATATTGTTGAGTAATGAATATATTCAAATCTTATAGTTACTCCCAGTTTCTTTATTATTTCTATATTTTTATAATACAGTAGACCGTACTTCTTACTAGTTAATATATTTCTATATTTCAATATACTGCCGTATGTAATTTTTAGCAGTTTTCAAATAAAGTAAAAATATTTTTAAATAGTCACTCGAATTTAATACCTGTTATATCATTGCCTTTTATATTTAATATCTTCAAATTGCTCAAATATTTTGAAAATATTTATCTGGAAATAATGACTACTATGATATTGGGTGATTGGAGTACCGGGGTAATCGTTGTGAAAATTGTTCCAGCATTTGCGATAGCAAACATGACTTACTGAATAAATATTAATATGCCTGAGTAGTTCTCTGAGCAATACAACGTCTATAAAATTCATTATTTAGAACAGCGATCGCCAGTGAGACGGTGTAGCTAGGATTGGCAAATAATAGAGGAATTCTCCCTGAATATATAGATTTACATTGAATCACACAAATGAATTCATGTAACAATTAATAATTTTTAAATAGCTTTATTGAACAGTATTTAATACTATTTAGTACTTGATTAATTGTTATTTAATTTGTATGTTATTTGTATGGTAATATTCAAATATTCCGGGAAAATTCAAAATTTTGGCAATCCTAGCCACACCGTCTCACTGGCGATCGCTGATTTAGAAACTTCTTGACTGACTTCTTGATTTTTTTCTAAAGTATACAAAATATAATAACAGTATCATTTTAGAAATATTACATGATGTGCACTACAGAAATATATAATAATTTGCTACTTATTAATAATAAAGTATTCAAATATGTCTTTATTCAATACATTGAAAACTTTTGTATGAATTGACAGCAAAATTATGCCAAATTAAAGTTCAATATTTCATTGCCCTATGAATTGCAATAAAATATTGAGACAAATGTCATTCAACTGTTTTATAAAGCGATTGTCAAAATGAATGAATTGAAATATAAAAACTAGATTTGGCACAAATACTGCAAATATTTGCCCAAAATTATGTCAAATCTGAAACAATCAATACATTTCAATATATAAAACTTTGTATTTATATTTCTTTACTCAGTAAACATTTGAAAAGCGATTGTTGTTTCAAGTTTACAATCAAAGTATATACTGTTTATTAAAATATTAACAAACAATTAATAAGTGAGAACAGAGACATGAATTCATATCTTAAGTATACATTTTGTGCAAATATTCATCACTTCCGTCTCTTTGAAACATAAATTAATGCTAAAACTGTAAACAAATTGAGGAATTTATTGAATATCCTGAGAAATCTTAAGAAAGTTATGACTTAAGAAATGGTTAGATTTGATTATTTAAGTTATACAAAAGGCTAAGTTAGTTTCAAGTCAAATATACATGTTATACAACCAGATATTCAATTCACTATACATACAAAGCAGGGCGTTGTGTATTACGGTAATACCATTTTGTTGTCTAGAATTATTCAAATTAACCGTACTTATATACTTAAAGTGAGCAATTGAAATTTAATAATAAATTATTTTATGTTACAAATACAAATCCTTGTAATAAAAGGTTCCTGTTAATATTACTGTATATAGATTAAATTTTAACAACTTTTGAGTTGCAGTCATATATTGATAAGTGAACGATCTAATGTTAATAAGATATTTCATAAAAATACACACAAAAATTTCATTATGGTAATTTCACAACGTATTATACAGCACTAATATTTCTAAAAATTGCACAAAACATGATAAATTATCATAAGAATTTGTTACACACAAACAAACGTCAAAAACTAATATGAATTCCTGAACTGCAATCACTTTATAACTGCAAGGCTAAATAAATATCAATACAAATATGATTTCATTTCAATTTTTATTTAATTAAAATAAATAAATTTGAAGACAAATAAGAAAAAGAAATATTGAATTCTTGGAATTAAAAAACAAAACATGGATGCAATCATTCAAAATGAAACATATCCTCATAGATGGATATAACAGCCATTAAGCCGATGCCCAATAAAACGCCCAAATTCTTCAATACAATCAACAGAATCGGATGATTTGATTTGGTTTTTTGCTTCAATTCTGGTAACTATTCATAAAAATATCATTTAATTTAAATTATTTGTTCAAATCATGTATTTCAAGTCATAACTACCATATCAGTGAGGGCTACATATAAGAAAATGCCGGCGCAAATGGCAAGTATCCACTTCTGTGACCGTTGGTCAGCACCTAATATAATGCCGATATAGAGGCCAATGAATGCCGTCAGAGCGGAGATGAAGTTAATAAGCGCCGCCTTTTTCACTGACAGTCCCGTCGATAGAAGGACTGCAAAGTCACCTAAAAGTCAAATAAATTATTAGTAAAACACTTATACCGGTAAATGATTTATTAATACCGAGTTCGTGAGGAATTTCATGACATAAAACAGCCAAAGAAGTGGATATTCCACTAAAATTAATATCAATATTAGTTATTCTAGTTTTTATCTAATTATAATCTTTATGATACCCCGCGTAACCACTAGTAAATGCCACTCCAATGGCCAGTCCATCTCCGAAATTATGAATGGCATCGCCTAATGTGATCATCATTGCCAGTGGTGTCAGACCCCACACCACTGTATTTCCCTCAAGAATGACTGCATTCTCTTTAGGCTTATTCAATGTGAGATTTTCTGTTGATTTAACGGTTCCCACAGAATTGGTGTCCAAAGTTGTGCTCGAATCACAGTATGAGGTCTTTGAAAATAAAAAATCAAATTAAATTGTATTATAATTAGTGATAAAATGGTTAAAAATTAAACTGTTGATTTAACGGTTCCCACAGAATTGGTGTCCAAAGTTGTGCTCGAATCACAGTATGAGGTCTTTGAAAACAATAAATCAAATTAAATTGTATTATAATCAGTGATAAAATGGTTAAAAATTAAAATACCAAATGAATTTGTGAGTCCTTTGTGGGTACGGGCGCTAAACTGGAAGTATTATTCAGATTAAAGTCAGGCTTCTGAGAGTGACTGTGTCCGTGGTGTCCGTCAGTCTTATATAAATATATTACTGATTAGTCAATCAAACTATACTAATTAAAACTCAGTGTATACCTTATCATCAGAATAAATAGCATTGATGATAAGTTCAAACAAAAACAAGCCATAGATTGCACCCAAAACACACAACTGATACCACAAAAAGTCAGGAATTCCCGATTTTTCGTGTGTGTGATCACTATGACTGTCCGTATGTTCACCACTGCTATGATTAGAAGATTCTTCGTGTGAATGAATACCCAATGCATGAGGTATGAGATGGAGGAGTGCATCCCCGGCCAGAGTGCCAAATGATAGACCAATAAAGCAAACCATTACATAATTGTAGGAATGCTTTGACAGAATCGGTAAAATAAAAATTCCGATAATAGCTGTCAAACTGATTATAAGTACAGCCAATGAAGAATAGCCATAAACTATTAAATTTAAAAAAAAGTTAACAAAATGCAGTAAAAATGGATTTAATTGAGGCATACGTTCAACGTTTGTAAGCTTAGACGTCGATTTGGTTTTTTGTGAGGACGGCTCATGACTGTGAGTTTGGTGATCGTGATGGTGGTCATTGTCAACACAGACCCGGCTTACTATCTGTTGCAGCAAAACTGGACACAAGTTTTTCACTTCATTTATTGTAAAATAGCCGTCGTTTGAAAAACTTCTTAAATAGAAGTCGTGGTCAAGACAATGATATTTGGATTCATTTGTTTCATTGTGTAAATGATTGGGAATGGATCTCTTGTGGTGTCTGTGCGTGTGATCGTTGTGGTGGTCGTTGTGGTGGTCGTGCATATGATGATCCTCTTCATCACTGTGTTCCTCATTATTGCCAATATTTAAATCGTGTAAAAGTTGTTCAAAACCTTTTAATAGATAATTCAATTTGTGTTTTAATTTATTTATCATTTTTAATATACAATAGAATAATATAATATCACTTTAATGCATACTAAATATTATACTGTATTTATAATAAGAAATTCATAATATTTTGGCAAAATATTCAATATTAACTAACATAGGATACGAATCATAGCTAATATTAATTTGAGAAATATCGTGGTTGAGATTTAATAATGCTAAGATTAATTTATAATATTTATAAATAAGAATTTGTTAACAAATTGAATAGATTAATGTCAAAAGTATTATTAAACTGCAAAATCATTAATACCTTCTTCTCCAATTTTATGTCCACTTTCTGATCCATATTTCGATATTAAATAATCAAAATACTCATCTTCTTCATATTTGACGCAAAATCCTATTTAGAAAATAAAAATAAAATATTTTTATTTTTAAAGTAATAGCATATCTTAATGGCTTTAATTCATTGGTTTAAATAGTTGTGATCTGTGTAAATATTTTGTAAGTTATACTTTATATAAGTTCATTTTATTTAATATTATGAATAAAAATATTTTATCAAAAAATAAAACTTAAAATTTTATTAGAAATTGAAAATATTGCCAATTCTTACCGCTAATCAGTTTCCTTACAATAATTTTTGAAAACAATTCAACATTTTCTTCCAAAT